TTTTTTAATTTTATTCAAAAAGACTAGTGCGAGAATCTCTCTTTCTCTCAGCTAAGGTTCATTGTCTTAAAATAAAGAAATGAGCTTTTTCGAGAATTTGCTTTGGTATAATATTATTTTATTGAATGTGATAGACGCGCGCGTATTCATATCTCATTCATACTTAACACTGAATGTGGCTCTATTTGATTTTCAGCCTGAAATAACATTGCATATGATATGCATATAAGACAAATAAAACTCTCGGATCCGATCCGATCCTGTGAGAAGCATCTGGCTCTTCTGTAACATTTGAAAAGCGGATTTATTCGATTCACGTACCCTTCAATTCTTCTGCATTCTTGCAGTTGCGTTCGAGTGCCCGTTCGAAGATCTCTCACGGCAATATCTCGTGTTTCGCACGCATGTATTGCGCTACCCCGAGAAAGAGAGAGAAACGGAATAATTGGTCGTTAGCGCCTACACACCTATCATTTGCAACTGCAACGTGCGGCAACATTCTTGCACGCCGCTGATATTCAGAAATGTTGCGGCGGCAGCGGCGACGTGGACGCGGCTTTACAACAACTTCCTGGACGACAACAGCGGCGTCTTGGCTCCATGAGCGGCCCGCTTAATGCAAGGCATTAAGGCGTTACGTAAATGCGTCTCGCATGCTGCCTGCGGATGACTCGTCGGCGTCTTTGGATGTCCCTCTCCATTTAAGACGACCCGCAGAGCGTTATTATTAGTTAACTTCAAATATTTATCGTATTCTTCCTCCGCATGGCCCAATTCTGTCGGCTGTCGCTCGATGGATATGTTTCATCCAGACTATTCTTGTATTCCGGTTAAATAAGGAGCTGCAGAGGAGCGAGAGACTTAATTGTCAGATATATCCAATGAGCCAAGAATAATATAATAAACCAGCGATTTTTAAAATAGTTTTATAGATCAATAAATAAAATTATCGATCGGATTATCACTTAATATTTTAGACAAATTGATCAATGAGACAAAATAAAATATAATTAAATTAATTTTTTGAGAAAAAAAATGGGACACAGAGAAGAGAAAATATATCTCGTGATATTTGGAAAGAACGAATATAATTTAAAAACCAAGCGGTACAACCCCTCAACCTAATAAATATTGACTTAATTTCTTCGAGTGTTAATCAAGTTTTTCTTAAGTATTTATTTCGATTAAACCTAGAATAATATTTTGCACTCACGTGGAAAAAAACAACCAAGATAAAATAGACGAGCGGAAACGTGTACGAGAATTCGAGCGTGTTTTCTCCACCCAGAAAAAAAAAAGTTACTGTGGCATAGTGTTGCGTCATTCGCGTTTCGCGCATTCGTTACGCCAATCTCTCGTGTCTTTTTGCCGCGGCCAGCAAGGCAACCATCGCGCGAGCGCGTTGCTGGAAAAAGAGCCGTGAAGGAAACACTGCTCCCGAGTATCGGTGGTGTAATGTAGCGGGGGAGGGAAAGGGAATGCTAAGTTAATGAGGCATCGGGTGATTTTATTTTCTTTCATCCGCCCTCTTTCCTGCTTCTACGAGAGGTAAAACTTCGTCCCGATCGGCGAGTTTAACTGTATCGTGGCAAAATACCGACCGATAATTTGTCGAATACCGTCGCGGCGAACTAATCCATTATCGATGGTATGTTTCGCTCGTTATTCCGCGCGACGGAATGATTCGCTCGCGAACGGATTAATGAGATAGTTCTTACGTTACGAGGTGTACAGAGTGCCAGATCGGCGTTTGCGTGATCCGCGGAGAATCGCGTGACTCGCGGATTTAATGTAAAAAGACGATTCACATACAAATGTGGAGTGCATCTGAAATCGCATTGAAATGTATCAATGATCACCGACTGTTAGAAAACACGAACGCGTTCGGCAGAAATATTATAAATCTGACAATAATGATGAAATCTGCTCTGAACTCTGAATAGGTAATATTCGAAATGCTATAATAAAAAACGAGCAACGCTACTCCATTGAGATTGCTGAACCTCGACCATAAATTAATTTCCGGTGATGCGTTAAAGTTTCCCAATCCGACTTTCTTATTTTCTTTACGCTCTCGTCTTTTACTCGTAATATAATCCGTTTTATAAGCATCGCCCGGAAAACATCGCCGTCTCTCTCGTCATTGCATTTCTCCTTATCTATCACAACATTATCCGTATCTTCCTGTCGTCAACTCGCAGAGTGCGACGTCTCCGAGGAGAATGGGTCTCTATAAACTCTCCTCCAACTCGAGAAAAATCTCTTTCGATCAATCTCGAGACTTGAGCGAATTCAACGATAACAAGAGTCGCGAAATAACATTCCCGTTTTCTGATCGACACCGCCATACGTTTCGTCATGTAATAATTCCGCAAAAGAAGTTATGCTATTGAAAATTGACATAAAACCTAAAAAAAAAAAAAAAAAGAAAAAGAAATATTTGCAGGTGACAAATTCAGACGCGATATTTTAGTGATATAACGTAAATATTCAATGATAAAAAAGTATATAATAGTTCTTCTAAAATAGCATTTATCATATTCATTTTTTTGTGCTTAAAACCGTTGCTTTAAAACCGTTTCAGCCAAACATATTTTTAACATCATCATTAGTTTGAAACTATGAATGATCTGCAATACAGAAACTTTGTTACGGTTTGTATTTTGAAACTCGGTAGGATAGTGAAAGGATTAACTTTCTCCTCGTCTTTTCTTCATGTGAAAAAAGTTTGCTCGGCATGTTTGAGAGCAATTAGTTGTAATCGGAGCGATCAGGGAGGACAAATCGATTGAAAAACGCGGGAACGAAAATGGATTTTAAAGGGGATTTAGACGCGTACGGTGTCCCTGCGAGAGAGCTGTCGGCGAGTACCGAAAACGAGAGAACCGCGACGCGTAACGAGACGCAATTTTGATTGCCATAAAACTCCAAAACCGTGTGCCCACGGGAATGCTCGATTTATTTAGGAAGCGAATACAACACTAACGTAACGCGAGCGATGCGTGGCGATCGATGCGATTGATTTTATCATTTTTTTCCCGTTTTGGACTTTGTGAAACTTTGTTCGAAAACAGAATAAAGATTCGAAAAAAGATGGCATTAGAATGGCTAATTTGTACCATTCACCATTACGACGTTCATCAATAACGTTGCAACATTAAATATAATTACTGCGAAAGCAAATGCAACGATAGTAACTGAAATGGCTAAGTAAAGCTTTCACAATAATTGAAAAAAATTTGTCGCTACGAAACATAAGCGCTATGATAGAAATATGAAAATATAATTAGTATCGTTCTTTCTCTCTTTTTTACACTCTTTGTTTCTCTCATACATTCTTTTTCTCGCACCAGTTTGAAGAAACTTGCGTTAGACGGGGATTTTTACTGATCTATCAAATATTTATATTGATTATTACGCTCACATGGGAAACGAATCGTTAGATATCAATGTCTGATTGTGGTACTTGTGACCGATGAAATTTTTTATTGATTATTTTACTTATCATTTTTTGATTGAATTGCTCCCAAATTAATGCAGTTTGTAAAATTTATACACGACATAAACTTTTAGATAAGTTTGTCGTCGCTATTTTTTACTTATCAACTTTTATTAATTTTTTATCTAGAATTTTATTTTAGCATTATATTGTTTATAATTTATAAATAAAATGAATTCAACATCTTTATTCAAAAACTATAAGCTCACGAACAATATGCAATTATAAAAGTTTCATTATCTTAAATGTTATATATGTATATTAGTTTGATAAACGCAAGAAATATCAAGTTTATTGTCTCGTCATTAAGCCAGCTGATCATCAGAAGAAAATGAGAACTATATTTCCTAGCTTTATTTTATTTACATAAGAAAAAAAATTCTTTTAAAACTGCGTTATTGCCAAAATCGTCAATTTCTTTTCTTTCTTAAAAATATATTTTTTAAGATTTTTATAATTTTTATTTTTTTTATTTTGCGATTTTAGATAATACAGTTTGCAAACACGAGAGTCTTATGTAACGTCTCTTCCAAGTTTAGATTAAATCCTTATAATCGACAGTGTGTTGCTGTTAAAGTTCTCAAGTATAAATACCACTTGAAATTTATTTTGACCGAATGAAAGTTCTAACATCGAAAGCCCGCGATCTCGAAAGCAAAACTCTCGATTGAACAGTTATTGAAAAGTCTTCATTCCGTTGCTATCGTAGCGTTTTGATATCGAGAATCGCATTCAGATAAGTAGAGCTCTCTTGAAATAAACATTTCTCAAAAGTCATACTTGATTCCATGTTGATTGGAGAGTTTTACTGTCGAAAGCTCTGTTGTAATCAGAGCGCCGTAAAATCTCATTCGAAAGAGCAGTAATATTAAGGAGAGAGAAAGAGAGAGAAAAGAATCTTTGCGAAAGAAGATAGGTATACCGATGATCGCACGATCCGAGATCGAGAGCATCCGTTATGATTGGATGTGACATATGGCGTCTTGCTATTTCCGGGTCGAAACTCGTTTGAAGCTTTCGATACTCGTTTATATCGCGATACGTATCTTATTACATTGGCGTAATCGTAGGACTATTTTAGAAACGCTATATCGTGTCGCTCGCACGCGATTGAAGAACGCAGCGGAGTAATAGAGGGTTGGGGGAGGGGGGGGGGGGGGAGATAA